AGAGGGACATGCAAAGGCCCCCAAGGTGAAAAATGCTTGGAAAGAAAGTATTGCCAGCGGGGAGAGAGAAATGGGGGAGGGAGGGGGAAAAGGAGAGAGAGAGAGAATGCTGGGAAATGAGGGCAGAGAGATAGCACATGGTCCAGTGCTGAGTCCTGTGAGCCAGCCTGAGAACTGCACATTTGTGAGTGAGATGAGAACCACTGTGTGGCTTTGAGCAAGGTGGTGCTCTGATCTGTGGTGTTTAAATCGAGAGGCCTGAGGAGGTTACTGGGGGTAAATCCTATCAGCCTCAAGGCCTTGGATCTTGAAGGCAGGGAGGAGCCTGGGCCTGAGGGCCTTCAGCTACTCCTCCCTGGCCAGGATGAGGAAGGCAGGGGGGGGTGTGTGCGCACGTGAGTATGTGTTTACAACCTGGGAATTCATTTAGCTCCTTCCTCCGGACTTCTCTTGGCCTCTTCTCTTCAGCTCCCTCTAAGGGTCTTCTCTTGGGTCAAATATCCAGCGGATCCTGAAGGATTCACTCTTGCCTGTTTTGTCTCCCACTCCCACACGGCGTGTGAGAGAAGGGGCCCCACACAGACTTTCGGGCTTTCTTGTGTTCAAATGATACCATCAGCCTTTTCACGCTACAATTCTAATTAGATATCAAAGTTGTCATACATTTTTTGGATTTCCCACTGGTCACAAATCTTATTCATATCTTTTTAAAAAAATGATTATATGTTTGGGTGCTATAGTCCCCACACTTAAAATCCTAGCCTCCTTGCAAGTCAACCATTAGCATCTTTATAAACTCCAGTCCTTGCTAAAGGGTGCCGCTGTGAGCTTTGAGATGGTCTGAAGAGACCAACTTGCTGTCACCTGCTCAGCTCTATTTTTGAGTTTGTGTGAAGTCTCAGCCTCCCTCCTCCTTGTTACGTTGATTTCCTCCTAAACCAGCCCCCCCCCCCCAGCTCCCTCATCACTTGACACTGCTGTGAAGTGTCAGCAGCTTGCTGGTCTTGCATGGTGTTCCTGAGGCATGGGACTCCGTGGGGATACTTGTGCCCACTGACCGAGCCTGGGGAGGAAGGCCTTTGCCAGTCTCGAGCGCCCGGGGAGCTGAGTGTGCCTGCGCTTCCTGAGAAGACGTTCATTCATCAGTCATTCACTGGGCCTCAGCTAGGTGCTGAGTTTGGAGTGAGCACTGTGATGCTCACTTAGGAGTCAGCTCTTAAAGAGACCCAGACCCGACAGCTGAAGAAGGCTTTTCACCACTGATCGCTTCATGCTCTTTGCAGGAGCCGCGGTTAATTCATGCATGAGGCCCAAGGGGGAGTCACGGAAACGTTTGTCGAGGCGGGCGAGGCTTACAGGGGTGATATTCTAGTTTTGAGGAGGTGATCCAGGAGTGGGCTGAGTAGGAGGCGCAGCAGGAACAGCACTGTAAGATAAGCCGCAGGCCTCTTGTGAGGCCCCTGAGTACTGCGGGGTGGCCGGTGTGTGAGGGTGAAGGTGGAACTTACCACGATTTATGGTTGGAAAAACAGGCTGGGGAGAACCAGGTGTAGGGCCCTATACTCTGACTTTTGAATTTATCCCGTGGACAAAAGGGAGCCTTGAGAAGTTTTAAGCATTGTATTATGACCAGCTTCTTATTTTAAAAGACCTCTTTGGCAGCAAAAGTTTGCACTGAGATCAATATGAGAATTATTGCAATAATTCATATAAGATGAGGGCTTCCGTCAAGCCAGAGGGTTTAGCGGCTGGGGCGGGGGGTAGGGGAGGAGACTGTGCAGACGTGGGGAGGAGGTGGGTGGGGTGGGGGATGGAAGGAGAAGATAAATCCCAGAAGTTTTCAGAAGGTAGAACTGACAGGACATGGCAGGAGCTTTGGTGTGGGTAATGAGGGAAATTGGGGGAAACAAGAGTTTGACTTTTGCATGCTAGACCTGATGGTGACTGTGGGACTCCTGGCTGGGATGTCCAGTGGACAGCCAGATATTTGAGAACGTTATTCAGGATGTTGTTTTGTAAAGGTGGTCAATACAAACAACTTGGGCTCAAAGTTCCTTGAATCCTCGATTTTAATGAGCTTTTCAGGTCTTCACTTCAGCAAACCACCATCACAGCCGTGTCTAGATCTAACACCATCTTCACCTTCTGTAAATACAAAGAACTGAAGTCCAGGATGGCAGCTTGTCCCCTGGTTCGTCCAGGGTTCCAGCTCTCTTACAGCTTTCCTTTTAGGTCACTGAGACTTTGTGTCCCTCTGCGTCTCCTTTTACTCTTAGTCCATTGTACTATTTCTTTTTTTTTTTTTAATCTGGTCTAAACCATAAAGGGCCCAGTCTGGTTCATTTAAGTTTTAGTACATACTTCTTTGTACACAGCCATTCTGCAGATTCTTAACACTGGATCTGGACTGCTGGGTGCTAAAGGAAAGACACAATCTATGGGCCAAGAACCGCCACAAACGTGTGGGTTCCAGTACATCTCTCAGCACCCCTGTATAATATTTTTGCTTGCCCCAGGCAGGTTCCTTTTCCAAAACCTACAGCAGATTCCAGACTTATACCTACTTATTCATGCCTCCTTTCACACTGACACCTTGCTTCACAACTCAGTTAGGAGATGATCTTATTCTCTGTTTCAAAGACAGGATTGAAGGGGTCATGTTGGACTCCTTCAGCCATCCAGTTCCACACGTTCAAACTTATTCATGCATTCACTTTTTCTTTTGGCCACAGAGGAGAGATGTTAATACTCAAAGATCATTCTGTGTTCTTCACCTGATCATTACTCTTTCAATTATTCCTTCTTTCTCCCCTATGTTAATCTCTGTGTGTTGGCTCTTGCCTTCTACATGGTCAAGTCTTCTTCATCTTAAAAAGAAAAAAAAACCCTCATTTGAACCTTCATTTCCCTCCAGCTGCGAATCCCCTTTCCAGAAAAGATGGTCAGTGAATGTTTACGGGCTTGTTCCTTTAAATGAGGGTTTTCCCAACTTCAACACTGTTTTGGGCCTGATAATTCTTCTTTGCAGGGGCTGTCCTGTGCCTTGTAGAATGTTTAACAACATCCCTGGTATTTACTAGTTAGATGCCAGTAATACTGGCCCCTTCCCCAGTTGTGATAATGAAAAATATCTGTAGACCCCTGTCGGGGTGGGGAGGGCGAAATTGTTCCAGTTGTGACTAAACTCACAGCAGTGGCTGTTTGAGTAGATTCTGAAAAGCTGTAGCAACATTAGCAGAAGAGATTATGCAGCTGGAGTGATGACAGTAGCAAAGACTATTGTTCTGTTAAGAAGCTAGGCCGACAGGAAACCCAGTAGTGCACATAGAAGATATTTAAGAATGTTGCTCTGGGGAGTACTCAGAATGTACACTGAGAGAGTGTGAGACCTCAGGTTACTGAAACTTCACCTGCTGCGAAACACGTGCTAATGGATTTCATTATTAATCAATTTCTCTTCATTAGGACAATTTCTTTCTGATATCCTATGTGTAGTAAGTTAGCAAGCTGGGTTTTACCATGTTTGATGGAAAAATATTGACAGGATTTGGAGGAAGAGAAACATGACTCTTCTAGAAAAATGTATGCTCTTTGAACCACAGTTGGCTTTGAAATGAAGTTCTTATATGTTAACAATATTTGCATATATCAAGATATTTAAGTTTGTGTCAGTTTTTTAAAAAAAAGGACTATGAGTTTAGGCATAAATTACAGAATGTTATTCTTAGGGATGGGAAGGTAAAAATGATGGTTCTGTTAAGTATAAGACGTGCTCTTTTCATTTCTGCACACCCAGCACTGACTTGGGGCTCCCAATGGATTCAGTGGATAACATAGGAAACTGAATATATTACGCGTAGTGAGGGAGCACCTGAAGAGAGTCAGAATGTCTGTTGTGAAACCAGGAGACAAAGGGATTCCAACGTGGCCTTAGAACTCCGTTCTCTTATTTTAAAATCTTACAGACCTAATGACACGATGCCCTGGAAAGATGTTTTAACTTGTTGAGTGCTTGCTGTGCTTCAAACCCTGGGCTGAAGTCAAGGAGCACCTCTAGGCTTTTGTAAATGTGAGGCGCAGGGGTGTAGTGGCGCTGTTTCATCTTGGCTCACAAAAGCCGATTTCTACATCTCTTCCAAACTCTGTGCTCAGTGTCTAGAATCAGCCATGTTAGGAGTATTTACACCATGGAATCAAAATATGCCACAAGTCAGGGCTTTCTTTAAAAAAATTTTTTAATTTTTTTTTATTTCCGGAGAACTGCTTTACCAGCTCACCACTGAAGACAGGTCTTATTTTCCGTTTCGCAGCTGAAACAAAGTAACTCAGAAAAGGAACTCCCTAAATGAGTTTAACTTTGAAAACCACACGAGTTCTTGGGAGTCAAGGCGTACTATTAGCGTAAGAGAATTTCTTATTTTTGCACGCTGGTGGTGGAATCCAGCTCAGCTTGGGCTATCTTCGTGGAAGATTCAATATCCTTGTGAATTGCACATTTTCCTTTTTTATTTTCATTGTGTACAACAGGTAAATCAACTGTACTTCAGTATAATGAGAACACTGTTTATGTTCTTCTGTTTCCCTTACCTTCCTCCCTGATCTTAAATGAAGGGATCATAAGACAGTATTTGAGACCAAGATTTTGGTGTATATTAGAGTGTTATTTTTCATCACACTCGGTTTCCTAACAAACATATCACGTGCAAGCTGTTTCCAGCCTTGATTAATTAACCCCTGCTCTATTAGTAACCAGTTCTGTGATTCTGAACCAGTTTTCTCGGCTGGCTAGTATGGGGGATGCCAACAGTGACCTCTAAGTTCCTTGCCATCACGCCAACACTAATTGTGCTTCTCATAACTAGAGTATGTCCTGCTGTCAAAATAGTAGTGTGGAATATAAGCCGTAAGTAAAGTGATTCTAGTCAAATTTTGTTGAAGATGTAGCCTCGGAAGTGAAGTTTATTTTGTTGTGTAACTGAGTTTTTATTTCCTTTTGAAAGTTTCAAAATCTGAAGCTGAGAGAGTTCTACTGTGAGGGAAACCCACTGTTCCTGAAGAAGCCGGTTCATGCTGTCAAGCAGGAGGACATCTGGAGTTTACAGGTGAAGCCTTATTACATCTTTCACACAAGTCTTCCAGCTGAAGCCGTGAATACATTTTAAAGAGTTTTCTAAAACATTCCTGCCAGGCCAGCAAATGATTACTACAACCCTCGTCCATTGGCAATGTGACTCCTAGTCATGTGCTTTTTGACTTGCTTGTAGAATCCAATGTAATCCTCTCTGATTTCCAGAGTCACCAAATTCAGACATTTAAACATTTTGTTGGATGGAGAGAAAAGAGGAATGTTTTTGCTTTAGCCTTCCAAGTGTTTGTCAGTATTATCTGTGGATGTATTTGATGTGTTCCTACGGGGATCTTTTGCTTTTTCCGTCTCCTTTTCTCTCGTCCCCATTCCTAGTGGATGAAGAATATGACCCAGAAATCATGTTTTATTTAGTCAAGCAAGTTGATGATGTTAAAAGGAGGACTAGGGGCGCATATTAGAGGACTCTCTGTGTGTGTCCTTCGGTGACAGATGAATTACAGACTGCAGATCTTTCCACCTCTGAGCATGAGTCTCCACTGTGAATCTGGACTTCTCAGGTCTTTTTAGGTCCATAGCCGAATATACAGAATTGTCTTAAAACTTCCAAGAATTGCATAGAATTCAAGTTTCCTGGTCAGAGGAAATAACCAATCTTGTCCAATATTTTAGTTTTTTAAAAAATATAGCATTTCCCCCTTATTACATAAGTAATGTATGTTTAACACAGAAAACTAGAAAATACAGATGAGCAAGGAAGAAAATAAATATTATTTATAGCATCATACTGATTAAAAGTTTATTACAAAAGTAATACAAGCTTATTTAGAGAAATTAGAAAAGAAGGCAGTAGAAATTGATAAACATGCTCAGAAACCCAGCATGCAGAGATACAACCGCTGTTCGCTCTGACATTTATTCTGCTGGAACTTTCCATGCACCCATGAGTTTTTTATATTGAAGATGAGTTCAAACTTCATATATTACTTAGAGACTTGTTTTTCTTTAACTTAAAACATTGTGGTTATCTTTCCAGTGGGTAATAAGTAAGTCTATGGCATCTTTTTTGGTGAATTCATAATACTCTGGTATGTAATTACAGCATAATATTTTTTATTGAAGTATAGTCGATGTACAATGTTGTGTTAATTTCTGGAGTACAGAATACTGATTCAGTTTTATGTATGTATATATACATACATTTCTTTTCATATTCTTTTTCGCTATAGGCTATATTCAACAAGGTGTTGAATGCAGTTCCCTGTGCTCTACAGTAGGACCTTATTGTGTTATGGGATATTGTTTGTCTATTTTGTATATAGTAGTCAGTATCTGCAAATCCCGAACTCCCAATTTGTCCCTCCCCACTCCCTTTCCGCCTGGTAACCGTAAGTTTGTTTTCTATGCCTGAGTCTGTCTCTGTTTTGTAAATATGTTCATTTGTGTCCTTTTTTTAGATTCCACATATAAGTGATATCATGTGGTATTTTTCTTTTTCTTTCTGGCTTATTTTACTTAGAATGATGATCTCCAGGTCCACCTATATTGCAGCAAATAGCATTATCTTATTCTTTTTTGTGGCTAAGTAGTATTCCATTGCATATATACCACATTTTCTTTATCTAGTCATATGCTGATGGACATTTAGATGGTTTCCAAGTCTTGGCTATTGTAAATAGTGCTGCTATGAACATTGGGGTGCAGGTATCTTTTCAAAATAGAGTTTTCTCCAGATAAATGCCCAGGAGTGGAATTGTTGGATCATAGGGTAAGTCTATTTTCAGTTTTTTAAGGAATCTCCATACTGTTTTCCATAATACCTCCACCAAATTACATTCCCACTAACAGTGTAGGGGAGGGTTCCCTCTCCAGCATTTATCATCTGTGGACTTTTGAATAATGGCCATTCTAACTAGCGTGAGATGATATCTCATTGTACTTCTGATTTGCATTTCTCTGATAATTAGTGATACTGAGCATTTTTTCATGTGATTACACCATAATATTTTAAGCTATTTTCCTGCTGGTGACAGTTTAGATTATTAATAATATTCTAACTTTTTGGCCTTTACAAACAGGGCTACAATAACTGTCTTTTTCTGTATTATCTCTCTGTGTTATCCCTGTGAGTCAAATTGCTAAGCTAAAAAACTTTGATCTTTTTTTTATGCTTATTTATTTATTTTTAAGGGAGGTACTGGGGATTGAACCCAGGACCTTGTGCACGCTAGGCACGCACTCTACCACTGAGCCATACCCTCCCTGTTGAACTTTCATCTTTTAAAGCTTGATTAGCTCTTTTCAGTTGTCTTCCAGAGAACCAATCTATATTTCCACAAACAGTATTAATTCCCATTGTTGTGTGAAAAAATATCTTACTTGAAATTTGATTGTAAATATTTTTAAAAAATTGAACTATTTAATTTGTTTAATTCCTTAAAACCAATTTTTTCTCCTTGAGTCAAGCATTTCAGAGTAATAATAATAATAATAATAATAATAATAATAATAATAATAAATAACAGCAGCAGCAGCAACAACAGCAATAATAATAATAGACAGCTAACACTTGTTAAGCAAGTCACTGTTCTAAGCACTTAACAGGAATGAACTAATTTAGTCCTCCCTTAAAAGATAGGTACCATTATTGTTCCCACTTAATAGATAAACTGAGACTCAGAGAGGTTAAATAATTTGTCAAGTTCACAGAGCTGGTCTGTTTCAGGATGCTGATGCCATTCTAGTCATATGGGCCCTAGACTCCATGCTGCAATATTGCCTCAAAAAGGGGCTGCCAGAAAGTGCAGGGAAAGGGGACAGGGTCGTCTTTGGTTGGAAGGGGTTCTGGCTCAGGAAGGGGGCTGGATGAGCAGTTAACCCAGTGTGGCAGGGGTCCTGCAGGGAGACCCTGAGAGGAAGAATGTTACCCGGTGTCTGGGACCCAGGTGCAGGCTGAGAGAACAGTGTTTCTTTCTTCTCATTTTCAAAACTGTAGGGACCTAAGAGCACAAGAATTTTGGGTTTTGTTCTGTGTATTTAGTAGAAGTAATGATTTTTACTTACAATATGTGAATGATTTGGATATTTTCGAAAGTATCTCCAAGAATTTTTCTTAGCAAGGTGCCAAATTTATTATACATTTTATATTTAAAGTAAAAGTCACTTTTATTGGATATTTGGTTAACATTCCTGCTTAAAATACTTGGGCTGGCAGAGACCTACAGGGATTTGTTTCAGGCCATGCTTTGGTTAAGAGTTTTAAAAACTTTTCCTTACCTCAGAGGTTTATGAACTAAAATTTATAGCTATATTACAGCAAAATATTAGCCAGAATGTACTGCATCAGCAGGTGCTAGACTGCAAGTTTTACCTGTGTTACCTAATTTAATTCTCTGAGCTCCATGTGATAATATTGGAAAAAAATCCCTATTTTACGTATGACAGATCCAAGATCAGAGAGGTTAAGGACTTGTTTAGACACTAACAGGTCAGACAGCCAGGATTTGCACCCACTTGCCCATCTGACTCGGACTCTGTCTTTGCTCTTGCTGTTGTGTTTTAGCGTCTGTCATGTGGTGATAGTCGACCATACAACAGTTCCAAAGCTCATCATTTCTTCTAAGGATTCATATTTGTTTTCACATTTTATAATTTTTGTATTTATAAACATGTAATTTGTATGCCTATAATTTATTATTCAAATGAAGTCATTATAGGTAAGGGAAAAAAGAACACTCGAAACTAATTTCAATCTATGATGGTTTAACCATAGGAATAACTTCTGACCTACATGTAGTCAGCTAACAAATATTCTAACAGAAAAGCATGTGAACTATTCAAAAAGAACAATTTATTTGTCCATAAAAAATTTCTTGACTTTCAAGTAACACTGGAATTAGGCCATCATTAAGTTGTATATTCTCAAAAACTGTATTGCATGTCTCTTTAAGAGATTTCTTCAAAGGTACTATTGGTCATGCCAGAAGTATCTTATATTCTATATACTTGTATTTCCAAGTAATAACTTTATATTTCTATGGTGTATGTTATTCTTCCAAAGCAACACAGTGGCAGCAAGTAGAAGAAAGTTACAAATAATGGGTAATGTAAGAGTTGTCAAGACACATACCAAGTGCAACAAACATTTTGGTTCCAGGAATCATAAGTGGGAAAAGTGAACTGTCTGAGTTGTGACCTATTTATTGGCCCCATGTATTTCAGCAAATCCTTCTACTGTCTGCTGTTTTGGGGAGTGAATTGTTGTCTGTTAGTTTTCTGCGGCTTTATAATGAGACTAGCCATTGAATTCTGGTAGCTAAAACTTACCTAGAAAATCAGTATTTCATTAAGAATCACAAGCTTTGCTCTAAGTAGTTAGAGAAGGGGTGATAATAGACATCTAATTTAAGAGTTCTGCAGTATTAGGAAAGGGTGAATCTTAACAGAAAGGATGACCTCATTATGTAGCCATCCCAGAGGATAACGTGATGCATCTGGAAGGTTATGCTGTTGGGGGTGATCAGATACTTAAGAACCCATGCTCAGGGCTGTTTCTGTATGAAGTCAGCTTTTCCAGATGTTTAAGTGGAAGGGATAGAGTAATAAGGAACAGGGAGACACAGATTTATAGGATCTTGTAGTTATTTTTAAAGATTTTAATTGAGGTAGATGAGTGAAAGATTATGTACGTATATATGTATGTGGGTAAGTATTTCCAAAAATCCCAATTGGAGCCTGATGTGGATAATCTTAATACCACTGGGAAATCTTTCACTTTGGCCAGAAAAAAAAAGCCTCACAGTCTATTAAAATTCATACAGTGGTTCTGTAACATTTACACAGGGCTTCCACGCTACTGGCACAAACAATGGGAGGCATTTAGTGGAATAAATCAAATGTTTATTGTGTTTCCTTGGTCAGTGAAGACAGGACTATGTATTATATAATTATTATTATTATTTTTTTTTTGCTTTAAGGTGATGATGTTGATGGTCATGGTGAAAGTTAACTTGTATCTCCACACCGCCCCTTTTATTATTTATAAGGGGTTTAAGTGAAGTTTCTGGACATACTTGTGTGGATAGGTTAACACATACTGAACTTAGAGATTTGGGGTATAGAAATCAGTACTCTTCACTAATATGGTTCAATTCAGGTACTCAGTGCAGGACATAACTTAGCTCAGTGCTCCTTAAACTTTAACAAACACACAGAATATCCCGGGGACCTTGTTAAATTTGCAGATTCTGGTGCAGTAGGTGTGAAGTGCAAGGAACTCTAAATTTCTAATAAGCCTCGAGATGATGCAAGTTCTCCTGGTCCATGATCTGCAGTTTAATTAGTAAGGATTTAGACTTTAGTAAATATAACAGACTCAGTTTTTGAGTCCAGTCTGAATATCTGTATAGTCCTGCCTGTTGTAATTAAGCGACAAAAACTTGAATCTAAACTTTATCTAACAGTGTAAATTTATTATAACTTGGATTCCTGTATGTTAGAGACAGGGAAGTATTACAAATGAAGTTCACTTGCTTTTCATATAATATTGAAAACCAAAGTTATTTAATTCACTATTATATACCGTGAAAACTTAATTTAACAAAACTGTGAGGAATAAGCCAAAAATTACAAATTAGTGAAATGGGAATCAAGGTGATGTAAAGTAGTTATTTTGAAAGTAATCTGAGGAACCATGTTCTTTTTTAATCTAGGAAATAACGTCAAGATTTATAATGAATCAGCTAGCAGAAGAGAATCATTTCCTAATGCGAGCCATAGAATGGTACCCGCAGGTCAGGAGCATAATCTCTCAGGGAAGGAAATGTGCAATATGTGGAAGGTCCTTTTTAACCATATGGCTGGAATGCGTTGAATTTTTTCCTCCATCAAAGGTAAATGGTGCTTTTTGTGTGAATATGAGCATAAGACCTCCTCTTATTTGTTGTCCTTATCTAAGTTGGCTAATACTAACTACGTTTGTAACTAAGAATTGACTTCTATGATAATATAACTGTCCCCCCGCCCAGCTTTATTGAGATATAATTGACTCATAACATGGTGTAAGTTTAAGGTGTACAATGTGTTGATTTGATACATTTATAAATGTGAAGTGATTTACCACCATAGTATCAGCTGCTGTCTTCATCCTATCATAGTTATGATTTCTGTTTTGTGGTGAGAACACTTAAGATCTACTTTCTTAGCAACATTCAAATATGTGATACAGTATTATTAGCTATAATCACCATGCTGTATAGGAGATCCCCAAACTTGTTAATCTTATAACTGGGAATTTTTGTCCTTTGACCAGTATCTCCCATTTCCCCCACCCCCAACCCCTGGTAACCACCACTTTACTATTTCTCTAAGTTTGTCTTTTTAGATTATACATATAAATAATAATGTGCAATATTTTTCCTTCTCTGTCAGATTTATTTCACTTAGCATAATTCCCTCAACGTCTATCCAAGGTGTCATGAATGGCAGAATTTCCTTATATTCCATTGTCTGTGTGATATATGTATATATTATATATAATATATATGTATACAGTATTTCCTTTATCCATTCATCTGTTAACAGACACTTAAAGTTGTTTCTTTATCTTGGCTATTGTGAGTAATGCTGCAGTGAAAAAGAGAATGCAGGTATGTCTACGACATTCAGATTTCAGTTTCTTTGGATATATCCTAAGAAGTGGGATTGCTGGATCATATGGTAGTTCTATTTTTAATTTTTTAGGGACCCACATACTGTTTTCCATAGTAGCTGTATCAGTTTGCATGCCCACCCACAGCGCACTGTGAGTCCTTTTCTCCATTCTCACCAACACTTGTTACCCCTTGTCTTTTTGATAACAGCCATTCTAGCTGGTGTGAAGTGATACCCCATTGTGGGTTTCTTTTCTTTTCTTTTTTAAGGAAATAAACACAGATACTGACATGTAATCTTCAGACTCCATTCAAGTTTTGCCAGTTGTCTCCCAAATGCTCTTTATAGGAAAAGAATCTGCTCTTTTCTGTATTCAGTTGTATTATTCCAAAACAATTCCTGCATCTTTCTTTGATTTTCATGACCATTTTAAAGAGTTTGGGTTGGTCTGATCTTTCATTTTGATTAGGGGCAGGTTATTCATTTTGGGCAGAAGTATCGCAGAGGTAAGGCTGTCTTCTTACTGCATCCTATCAAATGTTACATAGTTGTGATTTGTTCCATCACTGATGATGCTTACTTTGATCAGCGTATTAAGGTGATGTCTATTAGACTTTTCCATGGTAAATTTACTGTTTATCCCTCTGTAATAAGTATTTTGTGTAGTTGATATTTGAGATTGTCTTAATCTTAATCAAATTTTGAATTTATTCATTTCTATCAGTATAGGCACATGCATTCCTATTTTATTTAATAAGCTTCAATTTATTAATATCATTCTTCATTTTGATTCTCAGATTGTCCCAGATTTGGCTGATAGGAGTACCTTCAGGCTGGCTTCCATGTCTTTTTTTTTTGTATATATATATTATTGAAGTATATTCAGTTTACAAGGTTGTGTCAATTTCTGGTGTACAGCACAATGCTTCAGTCATACATGAACATACATATATTTGTTTTCGTATTTGTCATTGTGGTTTTGAATTACATTTCCCTGATGGTTAGTGATGTTCCACACCTTTTCATGTACCTGTTTTCCATTTGTATGTCTTCTTTGGAAAAGTGTCTATTTAGTTCCTTTGCCTATTTTTAATCAGGTTGTTAGATCTGTTGCTGTTGAGTTGTGTGAGTTCTTATTATATTTTTGATATTAACTTCTCATATATATAATTTGCAAATATTTTCTCCCATCGCTTAGGTTGCTTTTCATTTTTGTTGAGTTTCTTTTGCTGTGCAGGAGCTTTGTAGTTTGACTTAATCCCACTTACTCATGTTTACTTCTTTGGCTGTCATATCCAGCAAATCACTGCTGAGACCAATGTCAAGAAGTTTTCTACCTATGTTTTCTTCTAGGAGTTTTAGTTTTCTTCCTTTAATCCATTTCAAGTTCATTTTTGTGAGTGGTGTAAGATAGGGATCCAGTTCATTCCTCTGCATGTGGTTGTCCAGTTTTCCCAACACCATTTATTGAAGGGACTGCCCTTCCTTCATTGTGTGTTCTTGGCTCCCTAGTCAAATACGAGTTGACCAGAAATGCAGGGGTTTATTTCTGAGCTCTCAGTTTTGTTCCATGGGTCTATGTGTCTATTTTTATACCAATACTGTACTGTTTTGATTACTATAGCTTTGTAGTATAGCTTGAAATCAGGAAGTGTAATGTGTCCAGCTTTGTTCTTTCTCAGGATTGCTTTGGCTATTTGGGGTCCTTTGTGGCTCTATGTAGATTTTAAGATTGTATTTTCTATTTCTGTGAAAAGTATCATTGGACTTTTGATAGAGATTGCACTGAATCTATAGATAGCTTTTGATAACATGGACGTTTTGATGTTATTAATTCTTTTGATCCATGAACATGGGATATCTTTCCATTTGTTTGTATCTTCTTCAGTTCCTTTGTCAAAGTTTTGTACTTTTCTGTGTACAGATCTTTAACCTCCTTGGTTAGATTTATTCCAAGAACTTTGTTGTTTTTGGCACCATTGTGAGTGGGGTTGTTTTCTTTATTTTTCATATACTTTCTGTTAGTATGTGGAAATGCAGCTGCTTTTTGTATGTTGATTTTGTATCCTGCAACTTTACTGAATTTGTTGATTAGTTCTAACTGTTTTTCGGAGGAGTCTTTAGGCTTTTCTATATGTAAGATCATATCATCTGCAAAGACAGTTTTACTGCTTTATTTTCTGTTTGGATGCCTTTTATCTGACTTTTAGCCTGACTGTTCTGGTTAGGATTTCCAGTACTGTGTTGAATAGGAGTGGGTGGAATGGGCACCTCTTATCAGAGAGAGCTGAGCACAGTGCTTGGTACATATTTCATTCCTCAGAATGACTGATGAATACAAGAACTGGATTTTAATACTTACTCCTGTGTTTTATTAGGTTAGTGATGTGTTACATCAAATGTATTATAGAGAAGAATCTGGCAGAGCTGCTGCCAATAAGGGCTCATGTCGAGATGAAATAATGGTTGAGGAGAAATTTAAAAGTCAAAACCAGCTGGACATTAAACACCAAGAGAAAAGAGAGATCATCAGTGGAAAAATGAAAATAGAAATGTATGCAATTCTCAAGATGAGAATAAATCTGTAATCTTGATCACTTATGTAACGTATCTGTGAATTGTTCACATTACCATCTGGAATGGACTGTTATATTCAGGAGACACTAATGAGTATAACACATGTCATATGACTTGGCAGCAGTTTCCAAAACACTCTACTTTTCATTGGCTGTGACATGAACACCTTGGACAAGTTGCCATGTTCATTTTTTCCCAATGAACATCTTTCTTGGGAAAGAAAGACAGATTCCCTCTCAAAATCATCTGATGAGCTGCTAGTCTCATTTCAGGTAGAGAAATTGCAACCTAATAATAGTAACCAAAGACAAAACTTATCTGGTACTAAGTGTATGTCTGACATTGTGCTAAGCCTCTCACCTGGAATACTTAATGTCAGAATAACCCCATGGCACCGATGAGAAAACCAGGGTTCATGGAAGTAATTTGGCCAAGTTCACAAAGCTTCTAAGGAGAGGCTCTGGGGAGGGAACTTCTTAATCAGTCATGCTAGACCATTTTTTCTATGCTTTCAACTTAGTTATTCCTCCTTTGCTTCAACTGAATTTAAGGCATTCATGTTAATGAGCTTTATTCTGTCATCATTTATTTATCCACTTAAACTATTAATTTTTCCTACTATGTCAGGTCCTTTACAAGGGCTGGGGATACAGAGCTCTGACACTCCAGAAACTCACACACTCCTGGGAGAAGTGGTATAGTAAGGTGATTGGAATCTGACAAATTGGGCTGGACGACCAGCCTTACCACTTAACGCTTGTGTCGTCTTAATTTCCCCTTTGAAGCTAAGCTTTCATTTGAAAGTGGGGATAGAAATAGTACCATCTCACAGGGCTTTGATGAGTGATACAGGAGGTAATGCACAGTGCTTCATGCAGTGGGTACTTAATAAAGGTAGCACACAGCAGATCCTCAACAAGGTAGATTTAAAAAAATCACAGCTATCAGACAGGAGAGAATGATTACATTCTTGTGGTAGGTATTATGATGGAGGTGTGCACAGGGTGCTGTGAGAAGAAGGAATCTCAATTAAATGAGGGCATTCTCTGGTCTGTCCCTGGGGCCTAGCACAGTGACTGTGCTTTGTACTTGAAGAATACATAATACATATTAAAATTATTTTAATAGGCATTGCTTGTAAATGTGCTTTGAATGATAGGGAGACATGAGAATAGATAAAGAACCAGTAGACAGGTGTTTTAGGAGAGTGGGCTGCCTGTTCAAAGGTAACATTGTTCAAATAAATTGCAGGGTGAGTACCGGGAACTCACTGAGTGTGAGGTGTGGGAGTTGAGGTTAGAGAGAGGTGTGCCATCAAGATGACTGTTGTGTGTAAAGTTCTAACTTAATTTCGAAAGCTACTGCATTAGCTTGTCACAACTGTCATAAAGTACCGCAGACTGAGTTGCGTAAACAATAGAAATTTATGTTCTCACAGTTCTGGAAGCTAACAAGTCCGAGACCAAGGTGTCAGAGGCTTGTTTCTTCTGTGACCTCTCTCCTTGGATTGTAGATGGCTGTCTTTTCCCCGTGTCTTCACGCTGTCTTTTTTTCTATACAAATTTGTGTCCCAATTTCCTCTTCTTGTAAGTACACTAGTCAGTCATATTGAATTAGGGCCCATTCTAATGATATCATTTTAATTTAGTTACCGTGTAAAAGA